GGAAGGATCACTTGTTAGCCGCCCCAGTATAAAAACCCAGTCAAGTACATATATGTGTGCTTATATATATATATATATATATTCATATATATGTGAGCGTTTGTGTATATATATATAAATATGTACAATTCATTAGCACATTTTAATTGTTAACCCATTGCCGCCGGGGATGGCATGTACGTACATGCCATGCCCACTGTGAGTTGAGTTGTTCGATTGTTTTTACACATAGATGGCTACACTTGTACTAAGTATCCAGTGAGCCAATTACAAGTACTGCCTGTCTCGCCCGTTCACCCTTTTTATCGATTTACAAAAATATTTAACGTTATCCTAATTTGCTGTTAAAAATAACACCATCTATATTTATAGCACTAGTAAAAATACGTTTTTTTCCGCCAATTCAAGGAAAGGTGAAATCATTACTAGCAGAGCCATCTATGGACAGAGATATTTCACAAAAATATAAAAAAGGAGTACTGCATTTCCCCCATTTTTTGTTAATTTTCCCCGGCGGCAATGGGTTAACATATATTTTTATTTGCTTGTATACTGTGTTATGTAAATCAAATGTACTATTTTCACCTGCCACGTTTTTGGGTTTTGATCGCGTGTTAATATGCGATTTATGTCAATTTTCCTTTTAAAATACCATTGTTACCACCTTAAGTTTCCCCGTATGTCGTCCTCTTGTGATAGGAATATGCCTTACATACTGAATTCGTTGAATTTGATGAAAATTGTGATTTTATTGCAAGTATCAGTCGGCGAGTTCACTTCCTTTGCAAGAAATAATCGGTGACATAATTCTCTCTTGCAAGAAACTATCGATGACCTCTCTCCCCCTTTTGTTTTTCCTTTGTTTTTAGATGTTTTGAGTAGCCTCAGACAATGGATGTGGCTGCCTAGTTTTCCTTGATTTTTATGTTTTGATGTTTAGCATTTTGTGTTTTAACATTATTCATTCACTAACACCTTTAGATTCTCAACATGTATTTTGATTTGTCTATATGCAATGTTATGTAGATTAAATGTACAGTTTTCACCTGCCATATTTTTGGTTTGATAACGCTTGGGTTTAAAGCTTATATTCATACTCCATTTATATCAATTCTACTCTGAAAATACCATTGTTACCCTCTAAATTTCTTGTTTCTTATTGGTTGCATTGCAGATTTTGTTGAATTTGGTGAAACTTAATATTCTTCTTAATTTACTTTAATTTACTTTTTTTTTTTTTTATTAAATTTCAAATTATTTCGTAAATTTAACTCGTATCCTTGATAGATACACATTTTATGTATATGATATGTATATTTATATGTGTATTTACATGTATATATATTTATGTATGTATATATATGTATATATGTATGTACATATGTATGTATATATATATATGTATGTACATATGTATGTATGTATATATATGTATATATGTATGTACATATGTATGTATATATATATGGACATATGCATATATATATATATATATATATATATATATATAATATGTATATATAAACTAATGCATGCAAACGCGCGCGCACACCCACGCATATACTTATGTGTGTGTGTGTACATATATACATACATGCATATGTGATATATATATGTATACATGAGATATATATATATACACACATGTATGTATGTCTGTGTTTTTGTGTCTCTATATGTGTGTGTGTGCGAGCGTGCGCTGCACGCATTCATGAATACAGTGGGTGAGTCTATCTTGGTTATGATGGTGGGTTGAGGACCACTAACAATGATTACCTAACCAACTACCCCCCTGGGGAAGGATCACTTGTTAGCCGCCCCAGTATAAAAACCCAGTCAAGTACATATATGTGTGCTTATATATATATATATATATATTCATATATATGTGAGCGTTTGTGTATATATATATAAATATGTACAATTCATTAGCACATTTTAATTGTTAATCCATTGCCGCCGGGGATGGCATGTACGTACATGCCATGCCCACTGTGAGTCGAGTTGTTCGATTGTTTTTACACATAGATGGCTACACTTGTACTAAGTATCCAGTGAGCCAATTACGAGTACTACCTGTCTCGCCCGTTCACCCTTTTCATCGATTTACAAAAATATTTAACGTTATCCTAATTTGCTGTTAAAAATAACACCATCTATATTTATAGCACTAGTAAAAATACGTTTTTTTCCGCCAATTCAAGGAAAGGTGAAATCATTACTAGCAGAGCCATCTATGGACAGAGATATTTCACAAAAATATAAAAAAGGAGTACTGCATTTCCCCCATTTTTTGTTAATTTTCCCCGGCGGCAATGGGTTAACATATATTTTTATTTGCTTGTATACTGTGTTATGTAAATCAAATGTACTATTTTCACCTGCCACGTTTTTGGGTTTTGATCGCGTGTTAATATGCGATTTATGTCAATTTTCCTTTTAAGATACCATTGTTACCACCTTAAGTTTCCCCGTATGTCGTCCTCTTGTGATAGGAATATGCCTTACATACTGAATTCGTTGAATTTGATGAAAATTGTGATTTTATTAAGTATCAGTCGGCGAGTTCACTTCCTTTGCAAGAAATAATCGGTGACATAATTCTCTCTTGCAAGAAACTATCGATGACCTCTCTCCCCCTTTTGTTTTTCCTTTGTTTTTAGATGTTTTGAGTAGCCTCAGACAATGGATGTGGCTGCCTAGTTTTCCTTGATTTTTATGTTTTGATGTTTAGCATTTTGTGTTTTAACATTATTCATTCACTAACACCTTTAGATTCTCAACATGTATTTTGATTTGTCTATATGCAATGTTATGTAGATTAAATGTACAGTTTTCACCTGCCATATTTTTGGTTTGATAACGCTTGGGTTTAAAGCTTATATTCATACTCCATTTATATCAATTCTACTCCGAAAATACCATTGTTACCCTCTAAATTTCTTGTTTCTTATTGGTTGCATTGCAGATTTTGTTGAATTTGGTGAAACTTAATATTCTTCTTAATTTACTTTAATTTACTATTTTTTTTAAATTAAATTTTAAATTATTTCGTAAATCTAACTCGTGGCATCCTTGATATATACACATTTTATGTATATGATATATATAAATATATATGTATATGTAAATATATGTATTAATATGTAAATATTTATGCATGTATATATGTATATATAATATAAATATGTACATATATATATAATATATAAACACACGCATACACGCATACACATATGTATGTGTGTACATATATACATAAATGCATATGTGATATATATATGTATACATGAGATATATATATATACACAAATGTATGTATGTATGTTTTTGTGTCTATATACACGTGTGCGTGTGCGCGTGCGCTGCGCGCATTCATGCACTCAGTGGGTGAGGACCACTAACAATAATTTCCTAACCAACTACTCACCTGGAGAAGGATCATTTGTTAGCCGCCCCTGTATAAAAACCTAGTCAAGTACATGATGTTAAGTAGTTCCTCAAACAGCGCATCGTTGGTGGCAGAAATGTGCATATGTATATATGCACAAATATACCTATGTATACATAAGTGTATATAAGTATATTTATGTATATATATGTATATACATAAAGATGTATATATGTATATATATATGTGTGTGTGTGTAGTGTGTGCGTATGCGTGTATTCATAGTGAATGGTAAGTGTGTATAAATGATTTCTAGTGATGAGTAGTGAGATTCCGAGCATTCGTATGAAATGGTAGTGTGATCGTGACCATTCATTTTGAAATATAGAAATATCCCAAGCATTCCAGGTGAATAGCAGTGAGATCCTGAACATTCCTTATGGAAGTTAGTAAGTACCCCAGCATTCTTAGTGAGTGGTATTAAATGGTAGTGAGACGAAAGTTCCTACTGAATGGTAGCAATGTCACGAGCATTCCTAGTGATTGGTTAGAGATCCCAAACATTCCTTTCAAATGGTGGAGATTCCGAGAAATCCTTGTGAATGGTAGTAAGATCCAGAACATTCCTAGTCAGTGGTACATCCAGAGCATTCCTTATTGAAAGGCAGTTAGATCACAAGCATTTCTTTTCAATGGTAGTGAGATCCTGATTTCTTTTCAATGGCAGAGAGAACTCACCTAGTGAATTGATCCCAAATATTCCTATTGACAGATAGATTCCGAACATTCCTATTGAATAATAATTACATGCTGAGCATTCCCAATGACCATTAGATCCTGAGCATTATAAGTGAACTGTAGTGAGGTCACAAGCAGTGCTATTGAATGTTTTTGCCATCCCAAATATTCGTGGTGAATGGTAGTCAGATCCAGAGCATTTTTGATTAGTATTTAGATTCCGAACATTCCATTTGAATGGTAATAATTACCCAAACATTCCTAGTGATTGGTGGTCCTGTCTCAAACATTCCTGGAGAATGGTAGTTACATTTCTATCGAAAGATAGATCCTGAGCTTTCATAGTAATTGGTAGTTTTTCTTCTTTTCTTCTTTGCCTTTCGGCGTGTTCCCTTGTTAGGGGTCGCCACAACGCGTTAACTCCCTCCACCTCCTCCTATCTGTGGTGTCTTATTCTACCTCTCCCACTACTTTCATGTCTTCTTCGACAGCATCCATGAATCCTCTCTTCAGTCTCCCTCTCCTCTTTCCTGGTGGTGCCATCTCCATCATCTTTCGTCCAACGTAGTCCTCTGGTCCCCTCTTTACATACCCAAACCACCTCAGCCTACTTTCCTCTTAGCTTATCCCCAAATCTTCTAGTTTGCAGCTGCTTTCTAACTTCAGCGTTTGGGACCCTATTTAACCTCGTCAGCCCCAATGAGAAATGCAGCATTCTCATCTCTGCTACCTCCATTTTGCTTTCAGCAGCTTTCGTGTGGGGGATTGTTTCTAGGCCGTACATAATGGCTGGTCTCACGCAAGTTCTGTATACCTTGCCCTTGATCTTTGTAGTCATATTTCTGTCACATAGGATGCTAGAGACTTTTCTCTACCCTTTCCAACCTGACTGCAGTCTCTTGCTAACTTCTGTGTGAATGTCTCCATCTCTGGCCATTGTTGACCCCAGATATTTAAATTCTTGGACTTTCTTGATTTCGATGTTTTCCATACTAACACGTCCATCACCATCTCTTTCATTGACAAACATATATTTCGTTTTACTTCGGCTGACCTTCACCCCTCGTCTCTCTAGGGCATGCCTCCATCTTTCTAGCTCTTGTTCGGCTTCTTCATTATCCTCAGTACACAGTAAGATGTCGTCAGCAAATAACATTGACGGAGGGCCTAAGAAAAGGAGCACCGTGGACAGTGTGTCCATGATTATGGCGAACAAGAAAGGTCTCAAGGCCAACCCTTGATGTAGTCCAACCTCCACTTTGAAACCTTCCGTCGTACTGACTGCGCATCTTACTGTGGTCATGCATTCCTTGTACATATGTATGTGCATGTCCCTCATGCAGTGCCACAACTCTTCCCTCGGTACTCGGTCATCAGCCTTCTCCAGGTCTATAAAGACACAACTCAACTGTTTTTGCCCTTCCCTGTACTTTTCCGTCACCATTCTAAGTGCGAATATGGCATCTGTGGTACTTCTACCAGGCATAAAGCCAAATTGCTCCTCGCTAATCTGACAGCAGCTTCTCAGCCTTTTCTCCACTCATTCCCATAGTTTCATTGTGTGGCTCATTAGTTTTATGCCTCGATAGTTCCCGCAATCCTGTGCGTCACCTTTGTTCTTGTATATGGGAATAAGTGTGCTAATTCTCCATTCCTCGGGAATCCTCTCTCCTGCTAGGATCTTGTTGAACAGCTTCCTCGAGTACTCGATTCCTGCATCCCCCAGGCTTTGCCAGGCTTCGATGGGGATGTCTGGTCCCAGGGCTTTACCTTTTTTTCATTTTCTTTAGTGCTTCCTTCAATTCGTCCTTTGAGATGTCTCCTACAGTTTCCTCGGTTAATGGTGGCTGTATGTTTCTTTTCTTTCTAGGGTTTTCTGTGTTCATGAGCCCTTCAAAATAGTCTTTCCATCTCTTCAGTACCATTTTCTCATTCGTTAGTATCCTACCATCTGCGTCCTTAATCATTCTGATTTACTGTTTGTCCTTTGCTGCTGTCTCTTTGCTTTGCCACTCTTTGGTGTCTAGTTTCTTGTACAACTCCTCACTCGCTTCCTTCTTTGCTTTTGCTACTGCCATCTTTGCCTTGTTTTAGGCCTCTCTATACTGTGATTCGCTACTGTTTTTTTTTTCTTGTGCCATTCCTTCTAAGTCTCTTTCTTTCTGGCTACCGCTGCCTGCACTTCATCGTTCCACCACCATGTCTCTTTATCTACTTTCTTTCTTCCTGTTAACACACCTTAGACTTCTCTAGCTGTTTCTCTCAATACATTTGCAACATCCTCCCAGGCGCCATCCAGGCCCTAATCCACCTTTTGCCTTACCCAAAGCCTAAACTTGGTGCTCGGCTCCTCCTCCCACAGCTTCCACCATCTGATCTTCGGTTCTATCCTCAGCTGTTGTCCCCGCCCGCATCTCCATTTCCATCTACTGATCACTACATGGTGTTGTTTAGCAACGTTTTCCCCTGGCACGACCTTGCAATCTCGCGCTTCTCTCAGGTGTGTTCTTCGGCCCATGATGTAGTCAATTTGAGTCTGCCTGCCTCCACTTGTGTACGTGATCTTGTGTGAATCCCGCTTGTTGTAGAAGGTGTTTATCACAGCCATTTCCATGCAGTGAGCGAAGTCTACAATGTCTTGGCCCTCTACATTGCTCTCTCGTCTCCTCCGTTTCCCTCGCCGATGTGTCCATTGAAGTCTGCTCCAATGTTTAGCCTTTCTTCTCTTGGAATCAACTGAACCAGATCGTCTAATTTCTCCCAGAACTCCTCTTTATCTTCTCGATCGCATCCCACCTGTTGTGCATATGCTGAAATAATGTTTGACACCATTCCTTCTATTTCCAGTTTCACACTCATTATCCTATCTGACATTCTATGTACTTCGAGCACGCCATTAATATGCTTTTCTTTCACCACCACACCCACTCCATTTCTTCCACTGACTTCCCCATGGTAGAATAATTTGTAGCCAGCTCCAAGTTCTCTTGCTTTACTGCCCTTCCATCTTGTCTCTTGCACATACAGTATGTCTTGCTTCCTTCATTCCATCATGTCTACCAGTTCCCTGCTCTTCCCTGTCATTCTTCCCACGTTAAGCATCCCTATCCTGATGACCACTTCTTTAATCGCTCTCTCCCTCTTCTTTCTCAAATGTACACCGCCTCTCCTTCGTCTTGTCTCTCTGGATTGACCAACAGTATCATAGTTTCCGCTGTAGCCCTGTTGGGCCATAGCCACAGCGGCGGTCGTTTTTGAATAGTAATAATATCCGAAGAATTCTAGTGATATCCCAAACATTTCTTTTGAATTGTATTTAGATCCTTACCATTGCTAGTGAATAGTAGTTAGATCCTGAGCATTCCTAGATAGGTCACAAGCCTTGCTAGTAAATAGTAGTTAGATCCTGAGTATTACAAGGGAAGAGTAGTTAAATCCCGAGCATCCATAGTGAGTGGTAGTTAGATCCCAAATATTCCCTTTGAATTGCATGGTAGTGAGATCCTGAAAGTTCCTGGTGAATGGAAAGTTAGATCCTGAGCATTCCTAGCGAATGATAGATCATGAGCATTCTTTGTGGAAGGTAGGGATATCCTGATTATTATTTTTGAATGGTAGAGATCCTTAGCAGTCCTGGTGAAACGGTATTGATATGTTGAGTGTTCGTTTTGAATGGTAGAGAGATCTTAACCATTCCTAGTGAATGGTAATTAATTTTGAGGATTTGTAGGGAGTAGTAGTTGGATCCCGAACATTCCTCTTGAATGGTAGATCCCGAGCATTGCTAGTGGAAGTTAGTGATGACAAGCATTCCTATTGTACTGAGATCTAGAGCATTCCTTTTGAATGCTAGTGAGACCCCAAGCATTCCTAGTGGATGACAGTGAGATCCCTAGCATTCTTAGTGAATGACAGTGAGATCCCTAGCATTCGTGTTGAATGGTAATTAGATCATGAGCATACCTAGTGTGAATAGTTGTGAGATCCTGAGCATTCTTTTTGAATATTAGATCATAATTATCCCTTTTGAAAGGCAAGATCCCAAGCAT